AAAAAAAAAAAAAAAAAAAAAAAATATTGACAGTTAACACAACACAAAATTGAAAACACACATATTAACTCAAAGCAGGTCTGAGTATCTAGCGTGAAAACAGCTCATCATAACTTGTAATGAAATAATATGGCTCACTATGAAAAGCTTACAGACATAATTATATCATAATATAAAAAGATGAGAGTTGGTTAATTGTTTACTAGTACAAAGTAAACATCTTTGAAAACTATACGGCAAACAAATTTCAGACACTATAGATGGAGAAATAGAGAGCGGGCAATGTAGGTGTACGCCACGCCGAGTGCTTTTGATGAGGGGTATCAAATATTTATTTAGGTGCATTTTACACACTGACATTTAAATATTTAATTTAAAAACAAATCGGATAAATAATACGTTATTTTTGCATAAATGGTATCATAACCAATTAAATTATCAAAAATTAAAAGTTGATAAGGTTAATATTGATTTTAAACAGTGATTGATATTTTTCAGTGGTATTTGATTTTTTCCAAATATATCATTCTTTGCTAGCGTTTAGTGGCTTTTTTCAGCCACTTTTCATAAATAATATCTTCTTAATATGAATCTTTACCACTGCATAATTCTTAGAACATTAGTGTGTGTTAATTCCAGATTTCCAATATAACATTAAAATAATCAAAATAATCATATAAAATATTTTTTTTCATATATTCACAGGATTCTATTTAAAACTGATACCGAACATAAAGCAACTATGTAAGTATGTCTTGAAAAATAATGACATTAAAAGGTAATGAAAAATAGGTAAATACTAAATAGTATTGTTGAATTATAAATATTAAATAAACAATCAAAATTATATTACTTACCTATGAATTTAAGCGAATTACTTACCTACCGATAAAATATTATTTCTACTCTAATACATTATTTTAAAATATTATCTGACGCAATAATATTAATGGTAACAAATTCTATAATCGGACATAAAGATAGTTAAGTATTTGTAAGTTAGAATATTTATGTTTTGGTGTTGGGAGAAAATACAGTTTAAATATAGGTAATTAATAAATGTTTTTCATTTTTCAATATGACCTTAATATTATATTATTATTGTAGTATAAAAATAAAGTAGATATTAGGTATAGTAAGTATATTGTATTCAAATAAAAAGTAATAACACTCATTTGTAAATGCATTGTATATAACTAAATAATTTTAATACATTATTGATGGAACATAAATAGTTTTAATTAATAGGAACATAGTACCATTTGTAAAACCTAATTAAATGTCACTTACCGCTGTAAACAATTTCACTATTGAACTCGTAAATACATATCATGTATCATAAAATAAATAATTAATACTGAGTATATATCACCCAAGTAAATTCATTAAAATATTAAATTATCATATAGATCTATCATAAATCATACAAAATTGATTCATTGGTATTGCAAAATCTTCCAAAATTCATATTTTTGATGTGTTGTTTTTATTAATTTATTAATAATACTTACTAAATAACTAACTGCTACTAGTCAAATTATGTGGGAGCTGATACCATTGTATATTATAACTACTGCGAATTCGTAAACCATGTACCTCACTTAGAATCGGCCAGAGTATAGATAACATCTGTACCAACAATTTTATTTATTTCTGTAATAAAAACTTATATTCAATTTTAAATTGTATTATCATGGATACAAAAAAAAAAAAAAACTATAAAAGTAGAACAATCTAATTTTCTTTACATTTTTCAAAAAAATCTAAAATATTTTGAAAATTATACACTGTCTAGTGTCTATAAAATGCTAGTATAAATATTTGATAAATGAAATTTAGTTATGTAGTCCACTATATTTTTGATAATGTCTTCTTCGAATCGTCGTTAATCGTTATGACGTAGAATGTAGATAGAAGTATCACATTATAATTTGTAAAAATGATGTATACATATTTATATATTTTAGTATTGGGATATTTATGAATTATGATATGCATTACGAACAATTATTATACATTTTAATATTAATATATAGTTTAATTTAGATTACCTAAATCTATTTCTTTAAACATAAGAGATCAACTAACTAATATTCCAAATGCATTTATAGTATTCTATGTTAAATAAAAAATAAATTTATATCGAACAACTGAAGGTAGGTAAGGGACTCATTGCTTATTGGTTTTATATAATATGAATAAATAACATTATTTGTTTGAAAAAGATTGAAAAACGCGTAGCAAAAAGACCAAGTTTAAAGAAGCTAAGTTGATGTCTAGTTGATCCATCAAGATCTCATTATTCATTGCACTCATTGCAGTTATATAGTATTTTACATTTATACGTATAAAAAAATAAAATATTTTTACCTAATCTAACCGTGATAACCTAACACCAATGCCGGAAAATTGGCATTTAACAATGATCTATGCCTGTAACGTATATTATTCAATGATTAGGAAATTAGGAAATGTATTTCGATGTTACGGTACACCGTGAGTGATTTAAAACATTGAAAACTGTCATAGACCGATTCCGAAGTCTTATACTTTTCGAGTACCTCCATATAAACTATATAATACGAGCATAAAATACCAAATATGTTGTAATATAGTTATTGCAGACGTCTGTATAATAAAAGCTTACATCAAAAGCCGGTTCACTAACCTAACCCAACCCAAAACGAACAAACCCTGCAACCGGCTCCGGTGCTTTGGACTAACGTGATCACGTGCACACCCGTTTGTTTTCGCTCCGCGGAAAAGCGAAATGAATAACGAGCCGGAAAACCCTTGGCAGGAAAGGGGAGGGGATGGGGAGAGGGGTAGGCGAACAAGAAAAAATAAAAAGGAAAAAGTTCGCCGACCGCTGCCGTCGAACGGCCCGACACGAGCGCCTCCGGCGTTGTCGTCATCGTCACCGTACACCCACGAGGTGCACACACATACACCCACGCACACACATGCATATAAACCGCATGCACATACATACGCGTTGGTCGCCAAAGTGTTTTAATAATATGATGTATGTGTAAGTCGTGTGGGTGCCTGCGACTTACCCGGTGCGTCATCGTCGCCGCCTGCGGCAGCCAGCAAGGGGGTAACTGGGCAGGGGTGTTGGCGTCGAATGCCGCGGTGGTGAGAAGCGAGTGGGGGGGGGGCAGCTGTGGGGTAATGGTTGGGGGGGATGGGGTTGAGGGAGTCGGTCGCATACTGAGGCAAACTACTACTACACTGTAGTAGTTGGTGATACGCGCGCGCCGTCGCCGCCCTCGCCGCCCTCGCCGCCTACGCCACCACCGCCGCCGCCGCCTCGGTTCGGAGCTTTCGGTGAGGGCGAGGTCGGGTCGGCACACGTTATAATATTGATTCGTCGCCGCGCGCGAGTGTACATATTATAATAACGTGCAATTTACGGGGACTGCGTACAACTGCATTCTTCGTCGTGACGCATTACCGCCGGAGTGCCGCTCGCACACGGTTTTCGGCTATACGTTATGTGCCCGCTCGTATTGTAATTTTTTGGAAAACTGTAATTTTGAACGCGACCATACCGTGTATCCACGACCATTGGACAGAAAGAGAGAGAGAGATCAGTGAGGGAAATATAGAGAATAAAAAAATGCAAACGCTTTTGAATGAAAAAAAAAAGAAAATAGAGTGCCTTATTTGAACTGCGAACCTCGCGATAGACGGGCGTTTTAGAATGTAGGGCCGCTTAGGGGTGTTACCCGCGTCGATACACAAAGAGTTGGCATTTTTTCTCTCCTAATTTTTCGCCCATCCCCGCTCGGTGCGCCGCACGCATTGCACACGCCACAGCCGCCGCCACCGCCGTCGCGGTCGTCTCCTCGTTGTCGCTCCACCGCACGCGCAGTTTCATCCACGCGCACCAACACCATCGTCTGTCGTTGCCCTACCCGCGTGGTTTGGATAACGATTCTAATTTACCCCATTTCCACACCGTAATCTCCCCCCCCCCCCCCCGAAAATCGTTCCTCGACGATAATAATTTAAAAGATAACAATATTCTTACTATAATAATAATAATAATAATAATAATATCGCGAATTCCGTCGTTCTATTTTACGACCGCAATAACAGCACATCTTATTATACTACCATTATCATCGTCACCAACGCAAACGACGCCGACGGAGACCAACTCCGGCGCCGCCGTTGCCGCGATCGTCGTTCGATCGACGACAGATTCGTGCGGACGGTACACGCACTCACACACTGACACGCGTGCGCGCACACATACGCACGCACACACACACACACAGGCAATCACGCGGAGCGCGCGCACAAACGTACGCACACACCCACACGCGCACGCGCCCGCACGCACACAAGCTCACACGCACCTGACGCCGAGCACCGCACGCCACTCGCACACGCACGTTACACAGAAGCGGTCGACGGCAGCCGCGCGATATCCGACTCAGTCGACGGACGCAGTTTGCACCGGTACCATCACTGCCGCCGCGGTCGTCCATCGTCGTCGTCGAGAGCCAACCCCGCCGAAACACACGCGGCCGCACAATGACCGTCGTCCACCGGTCCACCACGTTCCGATGCATTTTGTTGACTGCAGGTAAAAAAACCAAATTCTTTCCGCGTGCCCGGCTACCCCTCCGTCGAGTCCAGTCGATTATGATAATATATTTTATATAATTGATGCCCACATTATTAAAATGTTACGTGCCTATTACCGCCAATTATTAAAACCGCACATATTAACACCGATTTATAGTACCTAGTATATTATAGGTAGTTATTTTGGACGATCAACGGTATTGCATATTAATAATAAAGTAGTATTAGGTAGGTACGTTAGATACCGCGGTAGCAGTAACATCACTGCATAGTCGCTTTGTTGGTCGTTTCTATCTAGCACGTCTCGTGGTCTCGTTTTTTCCCTAAAATATTATTCTCCACGATTACCAATTCCTCTCCCGAAATACACAGTTCTCGAATCCGCCACCGTACTATCATAATTCCCTTTGACAAGTCCAACATGCAGCTTTTCAACGAGGCTGCTTCGTTTCCTCTGACGAAAGCAATCTTTTTATCTATTTCGCACCTTAATACAGTGAACTGAACCCCTAAGCACCCCCCCCCCCCCTTCCCTAATTCTATCCAACCCGTTTCGATGTTTTTCGGGTCTGCGTTCCGTTAACACATTAAAGCTATAATAGTTAAAGTAGATATAATAATATTATGTTGATTAGTATTTTTACGGTGATCAGATATAACACTGTTGTAATTTTTTTCCATTTCATAAGATCGGTTTACACGATATGCCTTTAGTACATAATGATATATTTTGTTATTATGTATTATGTATGTTGTCTACGTATGTCCGTAGATCATGTTATGAAATACATGAACAGAAAATCCTCTTCGTATTTGCATTTTACTATAGTGCTTGACTAATGTTTTCATGTATAATATCTGTTATTTACTCATTAGATTGAACATATTTAATTTGAATTTAATTTTTAAACTGTACGTTGATTTGTATTTTGTTCTGTTTAATTTACTATTTCCATGAAATAACAATTTACACTTGTATCTTAATTTATAATACCTGTATATTGTTTATTTCGAAAAATGAACATTGAACACGTGTAGATTACTTGTTTTCTTTGTACTTAATGATATTACAATTGGGCACCTATATGGTAATTATTTATTAAACTGAACTATAGCACATAATATAATAAGCTTAGTTACCTAATTAGTTTTCAATTAGTATTAATATAATATTTAATCAGAATATGAGACAGTCTGCCCATGACTTTGACAATTATTTTTAAACGAGCAAACCACATAACTGATTTATTAAATCTGTGGAATAACGTATTATCTCAGATATATGTTAAAATATTATAAATTTATAACAGGCTTATAAGACTCAATGATGTAATTTGATGGCTATTACCCACGAAATCGTTCTTCTTATTTATGCTCACCACTTCATGTTTATTATATGGTAATTTAATAGGCATAATCAACCACATTTTTTTCGTCTGATAATGAATTTAGTAAAAGTTTGATCTTTAGAATTATTTAGTTACTAAGACCAAATTTGATTTATTCACATAACAGTGTCCGATTGTGATAAAAATCAAACTTTTTTACTGTAAATTGTAAAGTAGGTAATTTTATTGAAATATTTATGTATTTAAATCAAATTTCATACGAGTGGTTTATGAGTTATTAAAAAGTATAATACCCAGTAAAAAATATATTATTATCATACTTTTTATAATAATTATTAATAAGTATAATATTAAAAAGTATATGCACTAATGATAATATTATAGTCCTCAAAAATGTTTTACTAAAACATAATAATGTATGGTATATGTAATATCGAATCTAGTATCTAGAGGATTTATAATTATACACAGACAATTTTTACGTGTTATATAATTAATTATTAATATTATTAATTACTATAATATTTTCAAATCAGGATGTCATCAAATCTTCTAAGCCCATTACCATAGACATATTATCTTTAGTACACCAAACTAAATAAATTAAGAAATAATTGATTGAAATTTGATTATAAATATAGAAATTTAAAAAAAATATATCTGCTTAGCAGTTTAACGTAAAATGGTGACTTATAATTTTTTTAAAAAAAAATAAGTAAATTAGTGTTAAGTATAAAATTATTCTGAAAAAAAGTCCTTCTAATCTAAAAGGAGTTTTCGATAATATTTTTCCAATTAATTACAAAATACAAATGGAGCACCACCCCTCACACAGCTTACGCCAATGTGTGTCACACATAATATATTTGCCAATAAATTTTTTTAATAAACAAAATAAATAAGAACCATTTAAATTAGTTTACATAGTAAACCTATTCGAAATATTATAAGTTTTTCATATTATCCAAAGAATAATAATGATAGTAAAATATTAAATTAATATCATAATATAACTTACAAAACGATGTTTTATGAATAATGGCATCTAATTAAAAAAATAAACACATTATCTGATCACATTTAAAAAGTAAAAGTCTTGAGAGTAACACTAAAACAGTTTTTTTCTACGGTTGTATTTAAAGTAAAAATAATGTTTGGTGGAAACAGACTTCTAAATATTATGTCATCCACATAAGATAAAGATCACGGTATTATTAAAAAGTAGCTTTACTAACATTTGTATCACGGAGATTTAAAGTGCTTTCGAAAACAACTGCTAAATACCCAACATAACCTCACAAAAGTAAAATCTTGAATAAATATAAATGCATAAAACATTTTACTGCACTCAAAATTTAAAAGTTGACTTTTGAAAAATATAACTACCACTGTGACGTAGAATCATAGCTCCTTTGCTTTGAGTAGAATCAAAACGTTGATAAATATTAAATGTAATCATGTTTATATTATGAGGATAAACATACAACGGTATAAGTAGATTTATTTTCGTTTTTAGAATTGTTTGAAATGACAATACGTTTAGAAAAATATTAATATGTATTTATTATAATCTGTATTCATTTTTGGACAAATATTATTTTTAGGTTAAGTGGAATAAATGTGAGCTCAAATATGTATTTAAATTTGTACTTTATTGATGTAATTTTATTAATACATACTTCTTCTTAAAATGATTTAAAATGAAAAATCGTGTTATTAATATCTCGTTAGCTGTTTTCCCGAATAAAATACCACTTGTACCAAGATTTAACATTGAAACAGGGTTACCTACAATTGGATTCTAAGTGGATCTAAACTTTATAAATTTATAATAAATATTAATTATATTTATATTTTTAAGACAACAAAAATAATTTCAATACAACACAGGGCTCGTATTTTGTTCATCTAATTTACTTCTAATAATAAAATTAAGCTACATATTCAATAAAAACAAAACGAAAAATACTCATTACTCACTTTAATAAAATTGTATGATTATCTTAAAATTTAAAAATAGCAAACTGTATGGAAAGATGTGCTTTGCTAAAAATCGATTTTTCAATTCAAAGTTTTATTGTTGCTTATAATGTTTAATAATACAAAATAGTAAATACTGAGCCAACATAAAACGAGTACCGAACGGCCAACACGCGATCTCTGTATCTCATGTATTTATGCTTTAAAATTATATATTATTCAAAAACTAAACTTGAAAACGTGAGGTATACTTAAATCGTTTTTATAATACAATTTCAGGTGGTTCACTTTCAGGACATGATTTTACAGCATACATTTCTATTTTAGGTGTGTTATTTCCTTTAAAATGTAGGTGGTACATTATGTTGTGGTTCAGAAAAGCAGTAGTTCACTTAATGTGAACTATTCGTGAATAGTTCTTAGTAAATTTTACTATTCCAGAAAACAAAATTGTTTATTTTAAATTGTTAGAACTAAGATTTCACAATTGAGACTAACCGTATTCTATTAATGTTCATACGAATGAAATTATATTACGTCTAAACGGCAGACACATACAGTGTAATTTAAATAAAAATTATAGTTTTCTTCTAAATTATTTTGATGATTATAATAGTACAATAAGTAAATATAAAGTTTTATTTAAAAAAAGTACTATTTACCAACATGCAATTTCATAATCGATGGTGTATAATATGAACACCATTAATTTGTGTAAAATATACAGTGGCATATTTTGATAAAATGTTATTTTTCTAGGGTAGTACCAACCTTTTTTACAGACTGTTATGAAAGTAATTTAATTTATTTAACTATATAAAAGATATATACATATATGTATATAAATTTAAACAGTATACAAATTATTATTTTTTTAATTTTGAGGAAAAGAAATGCTAAAACTACAAAATTACGCCGGAGCGCATTTCAAACTCCGAACTTCGAAAAATGTTGATGTTACTTTTATAATATTTAAGTATTGAATTAAATGTTATAAAATTGATTTAATATTTTAAGTTCTGTAAACTAAGTGTAAAAAAATAGTATACGTTTCACACTTCAGACGTATCAATTTTCGATTAATCATAAAATATTTTTGGCTTAAACATATTAATATACCATTTTGTTTACTGTACCCTCCAGGTTGAAACTATACTACTCTTTTTAATGAAAAAATATGTTTGTAATTGTTTGGATAAGACGAAACAATTGACACAAGTCAAGTTAACTATTTGAGCAAATTCTCTAGTTTCAAACATTTAGAAAACATTTTTTTTTTTATTCTTCAAATATTGTGATTGTTCCATGTGCAGTACACCCCTTCGGTCAGTTGATGTTTACAAACTCTTAAAAAATGCAGTTGATGTTCTGTCAAAATCAGGCTCTTTCAAACTACACTAATCAATAATTATTATTGTATACGTTTTATAAAATATATAGTGAGCAATGACCATACTACCTAAACCGAGTTTCATATTACGTAGGTATTGAAAAGTGATGCCTAGTCTATATTTTTTTTAATCTTTTTTTAATGTTTACTCGTAATATATGAGATGGATATAGTATAATTAATTAAAATATTTTGAACTAAAAAGGGTTATCTTAGGTTCAAAATGTATTATTTAATAATTTTAATAATAGATATAAAACAAAACAAACAGTTGACTCATTATTGTATTTTACACATGCATTTAATTTATGAAAAGAACCAATTAAAATCGAATTTATGCATGTTGATATTCTAGTAACGACTTTCATGACTATTTTAATATTTCATTGACGAAACCGGTGAATTAATCCAAATAATATAAGGGCTAAATCATTAATTAGCTTTAATTTATTGATACATTGTAACAGCCTTGAATGAATAATGTTAACCATGCAAATCCCTTAACAATGTCTGTGTCTAAAATTCTCTAATTACACTATAATCTATATTATACATCGTATTACACAAGCAATTTTACTTAATTTGATATTGCATGTTGTAATGTCATAAATTCCTATTTTTTTTATAACTGAAAAATATTTGGTACTCGTTTTAATTTACTTACTGAATACACATCCCATAATTTTATTTTATTTTATTATTTATAATTATGTAGAGCAATAAACACATTTTCATTTTGCATTCAATCATTTGAGCTTATTACTTTGAAATTAAAGTGTTTCTATAGTGCTTGTCTTTACTAAAATAACATTACACGTGTGTTTTTATTTTATCATAATGTTTTATTTCAAAGGTGATCTATGATTTTTTACAATAAAATATAAATAGTTGGTTTTAGAATATTTCAATTGAATGATATGTATTTAATGTATTTGAATGATCTTCTTGGTTGAATATTAAAAAAAAAATGTTACCTGTTCTTTGGAGGAACAATTTTGAGGGTACATAATTTATTATTTGCTAATTTTGTTGACTTTCAAGACCATTGTAATTTCTATTAAATTGTTATTTATTTTTTTTTGTTTACATAAATAATCAGCTTTTCAGTGAATGTTAATATAAATAAAGTAGTAACTGTAAAAATTAAATTATGAATTGAAATTTTCAATGTTTTCCCCCCAAAAAAATGATACAAAATATACCACTAAACACGGTTTTTAATAAATTATGCTCTAATATTTTCTTCTTAAAGTTCTAGTACATCCATTGTTATTTTATTGAATCTTTTACTCTATTTTCTAGTCAACATAATATAGTTTTTATTTGTTTTTTTACATCTTTGAACTTTTATTATCATAAAATAATTCTAAACTGCACTGAAATATTTTTATGACAGACAAGAACATAAGAAAACAGCGATGTGTTAAAACTAAATAAATTTTTTATTTCAAAAACGTTTTATTAATACTATTAAGGTATTAAACATAATTTTAAAGTCTAAATAAGAGTATATTCAGAATGTTTTTAAAATGTATTAATTGGTTCACACACATATAACAGTATAAATTCAAATTCAAAGTAGGTAGGCACTTATGTAATATAAGATAGGTACACATTATGTAAAGTGCATTTAAATATACTATCTATATGACTATATCACAAATAAATATAATGCATTTGTGATATTTATTTATGTTCAACAATACATTTGTCAAATAATAAAAAAAATGATAACGTAAAATAATGAAATTATGTGATTTTTAAATATAATTAAATAACTTTATTTTCTTGTACTTTTTCATTGCATTTACACTATAAAAACAACATTTTTAATAATATGTATAGCACTCAAAACCCAGTTAAAAAAAAGTTTAAATGTTATCGGTGTGATTATCAGAAGTTAATACAAAAATAATTCAACGATATATTACTAAATCTATCACAGATATCATTGGATACAATTTTCATATACCAATAATGAATTTCCTTTATATATAATTTCTCAATTAAAATAGGTACTTGGTGAGATGTATTCATTTATTTTTGCACTATCTTCTTTACTTCTTATAAGCTATGAATGATTATAATTAATAATTATTACAATTGTATTACCAGGCACAACTTGTAATTAAGGTTCTATTATTTTATTGTTAATTTGTCTCATACTTTTTTTTCTAAGAAATATTTAAATTCTATTAGTAAAGTTAACCTAGATTTAAATTTGAAAAAATAAATCTATAAATGTGTCTTAGATACTCCTTTAACATGTCATCTCACCGAAAAATTTCGATGCATATATACATTAATGCAGATACTTTACTATAACTGTTTTTAGAAAGATTATAAGACTTATAATATTAATTATAAATTACTGGGCTCCACTTTTTATAACTTATGAATTATTTATGCTTCAAATTACGATATAATTAGAACGATGTGCTCAATTTTACTTTTTAAATTGTATTTGCTTCACGTCAGCCTTTCATCAGCATTATGGGCTATCTAAAATATACTTAATCACTAATCCAAAACATGAGCTTAGGATTTTTTTTTCAAACTGTTTGAACAAAAATTTAAAAATGTTAGACCGAATGACGTAAAAAAATGTCTAGAAGAAAAACTTAAAAAGACTTCTTTCTTCAAAAATAAATTATATTTAAAATAACTCATCAACAATTGTGCTTTATTTTATTTCAAAGTAAGAAATAAATATAACGAAAAAGAATACATTAAATAAATACAAATGTAAGAAAAAATGTTTCAAAATCTACAACGGTAAAAAAAAAAAAAATAATTTCACATATTATTCTAATTTATGTAGAGAATAATAAATATAAAACACGTTAAACATTTTTGATATCTTTCAATTGTACAATAATTATAGAAAGTAGTTATAGCCGATCTACATCAACTTGATTTTATTTATTTGTTCTGTTTTCTATATACCTAATTCCGTAGTATCACGCAACAGTGTAAAAAGGTAATAAAATAGGATTCGTACATGTAAGTTACACAGAACTACTATATTTTTCTAAAAATGTCGATAAAATTACCAATAATAAATCCGTTAAAAAAAACGTCGATTGGACTTCATACAAAATAATTTACATATAAATAAATGAAATATTCTCTTAGTCATATTTGTAATCAGTAAGTCAAGTGTATTTTTAATTTATAATTTTAAATTGAAATATTTTATTGTTATTCTTATTTCCAGAAATAATAATAATATATATTATTTTTTCATATTTAATGAAGTTTCATTCTAGGGTAACTAGAATTTATTTATTACATATACATTTATCAAAGCAATGCAATTTATTAATATATTATATACAAAATAGAATACAATGGAGATGAAACTATATTGTTAGTTCTCGCAAAGTGTATATATAATATACATAAAGATATTTATAAGTTTTCTTAAATTATACTCAAAGATTGAAATTTAACTCAAATAGTTCTTGTAAGTTATTCAAAGTTGTAATGCTAATCGATGTTTAGCGTTTTAAAAACAAGTAATATAATATAATATTGTTATATTCTCAGATAATATATATATATATTTATACAACGTTTTAAAGATGTAGGTCATGTTTATGAACGGTATGTTTCATACTATAAAATATTTGAAGATTAATACCATTTTTCATTCTCAAATTATTACCTTGTTTATAATTAAATTACTCCGATGCATTCACTGTTTATGGTTCTTCAACTACAATTAATATAAAATTATGTAAAAACACGTTTAATTTATTACGCTATTACTAATAGATTTAATAATTGAGCATTCATGAACAATTATAAAAGAAGTACAATTAAAATATTTATTTTGTTTTTAGCAATTGTGATATTTGATCATATCCTCGTCTCTCCAATTCATGCCTTACAAATAAATGAACAAAATAACACAAAACGGTCCCCAATTACAACATTTCAAAAAGCGGTAAGTGATTTGTTTTTTTTAAATTTATTTATCTGTTTTATTTAAGTGTGTTGTAACATTTTCTTAAAATATTGTAGTATAATGTCTGGAATGCCCAAATTAGTTTATTTCAGGGATGGGTAAACTCTTTTAACAAGTTAACAATTAAAAATAAAAATGAATGGTGTGCGAAAAATGGTAAAGAATGGCATAAATATTACTTTTGCCTCGTATCATGTTTATTTATTTTACAATACAAAATCATATTTTGAGGGCCACATTAAGTGGAGTCTAGAGCCAAATTTAGAAATACCCCTGGATGTTCTGGATTTAGTAGTTAAAAAAAATCGTTAATTCCTCTCTACTGACCGAAAATTAAAAGTAGCGCAAAGTGGTAATTTTCTTTTATTATTTTCTGTTTAATGTGAAAATCGAAGTGATATAAACGAGTTAATTCATATTTGAATCAATCAATGTATTTGTTAATTAACTACTTATTGTTTTAAATTTGTTCTTATTTAAAACATCAAAACAATTATCTGAAGTAATTACTTTAAAATGTTCTGATTTGAATTTTAAATGTTTGTTGATTAAACTATTCAACTATAGGTACCTACCTACCAATAGCTCATAAATTTATATCTAGCATAAGATTAAAAATTCTAGTCTTTAATGTAAGATCATTTTTTGATGAATCAATTTTATATTTATAGATTATGGATTAATAGGAACTATTGAGTTGATTTAATCGCTTTTGTTGTTCTCTTCTAAAACTATGTTACTATACGACATTTATTCTGAATTCAAATTATGATGGTTTTAAAATCATATTAAACCAAATTGGAGTTAGATTTACTTTTATTTCATAGGTCTGTTTCAAATTATGTTTATTTCAAATTAAAGGACAATATTCAGTATCCCTCTATCTGCGTTGTGTATCTGACAGCTAAAAGTGATGCTTGGCTTAGACCATGAATGAAAAGTGCTAACGGGTGTGTTGTATGATATAATATTATAATTATTATTATGTAACATGAAAATTATAGTTAATCTATATTCAATAAACATATTCTGAAATTTAATACTTTCCAATTTTATTTACAATATCACACCTATCGTTCAATACTGTCCACCGTTCTGGTAAAATAGGTACCTAATGAGATAAGAAATGTAGAGTAATGTTTCAATTTGTTGTGGTATCTACTTGTTATAAATAATTTATGAAAAAAATGAAAAATTTTGAAGAAAAAAAATAAAAACTTAAGTGATTGTATCAAGTAAACGTTACAAAAAATGCACCTATAAGTTTTCCGATTTTTTATCGAGTCTCCATTTTTTTTATTTTGATGCACAAAAAATACATTATATTTATTGAAAACTATTATTGATCGACTACAGATTAGTGACACGTACGAGAGTGCTCTACTATCTTTTTTACATTACAGTCACACACACTAATGATCACTTCATATGCACACATTCACACGAAACTCACTCATCTACACTTAAAAAATTACTCATATTGATATCTTAAAAAAGGTCGGTATAGAATCTCCTTAATGCTTGTGTATGAAATATATTGTACAATATTATAGAATAAAACAAAGGATGGAAAAATACATTGATAATAAATAGAAAAAAAAACGCCTTAGTGTTTTAATCCATAGGGTTTATAAATGTCAAGAAATGTTTGTTATTTTATATTCATTGTTCAGTAGGCGATAAATTCTAGTTAATTAAATGTCAAAAATAATAGTTGATACATAGAATTTTTTGTATCAACCCTTGATGCACTTTTTAATTTCTAACAATTTATACAACCTTAATTTATTATTGAATAAATACCTACATTTATTTTTTTATGTATACTTTTTATGGAATTTGATTTAATCAACTACAAAAATAATTAATTATTGAACTAACCTATTATAGTGTTGTCTAATGTATTGACTTTTACTTTTTTGCTTGTTTATGTGTAAGTATGATAAAGTGAGCCTTTTAAACATTTTTTGCATATTTACTGTAGTATAAATATATAATAAACTGATTTATTAAGTCATTTACATTTTTTTTTATCTCTAGGTAATTGTGTTAGGATTTATCTAATTTTGTGATACATAATTTTGTAACATGCAAGCTCCGGTTTTCCGGACTCCAATGTTAATTCGTTATCTGTAACTATACGCATCAAAATCGTGAAACCCTCCTAACTATAACTTATTAGAAATGCCACAATATTTATAAATCTAATTTAAAATTCAAATATTTAATAATTTAACTAATATTATTCAACACTTTTTTTAAATAATGATGATAATGCAGTTTGTGCTGTGACTGATGAGTGCTAAAAAAATGTTGATCACTACTGCCCTATATCTTAACAATTACAATACTGGTGACTTAACTTGTGTTAAAATAGTTTCTTCCATTCGAGTACTTCCCATTCCTGGAGTGTCAGTTTTGTAGGGTCGACATTTTAAATATACTTTATTTATAATGGTTTATGTATCAAAAATGTTTCTTATAAAAATAAATCTTTATTTTTGAATTCTGGACTCTTGATTGTGGTTATCTTTAAAGTTTTAGTATTATAATCATAATTACAATTTAAAAAAAAACCTTGAAAACTTTGATAATTCTATATGATATAATGTATTAGGTATTACTCTATGCTGTGTGCTCTGTAAACACGGCGATCTTTAAAGTGGACTCTATGTAGTGATTTATTTTCAACCTTTAACATGGATATCTAATTTAGAAGATGCAACAGTTTAATCGGTCTTATACCTACGTCTATTTTTAGTACAACATAACGAAATTTCTTTCTGTATTTCCAATAATATTTCCAATAACTATGGGTCGAAATAAATCTAAATGGACTATATGAAGTAGCCGTATAGGTACAACTGATTCTTTTATTGCATCCTCTTAAAACAAATAATAAATTGTCAAAATACTAATTTACTATAATTTAAAGCAGGGCTTGAAATCGAAACAAAAATTTTCGATTTTAATTTCAATTTTGCTTATCGATATTAATATTTTTCGATTTCGATTTAAAAATAATATATTGATTTTGTGATTTTATGATTTTTTTATTTATGCAGATTATCGATTTAATTATATTATGATTTCGATTTTAAATATAATTTTCTTTTATTTCTATTTTAGTTTAATTTTAAAATTTAAATAACATTATTTCGATATCACTGATATTAGTGAATTATTTTCAATTTTAATAGAAATTTTGAAAATCATTTACAAGCATTCACGATTTCGATATTAATTTTGATTTTTTAAAAAAATTTTAACGATTTTTATCGATATTTAAAATCGATTTTGAAATCGATTTTAAGCCCTGATTTAAAGTTTTATATTTTAAAGTACCTAACGAGGTGTCTAAGTTCTATTAATTGTAACTTAATTGATTTTCACATAACTGATTATTGATTTAAATTGTACATTTTTCTTTTACGTATTAAATACCATTACATATCTAATCATAAGCAGTTTATATTTTAAATTATTTATGTCTTATATAATTATTTTTAGACATTTCAATGCTCACAAAAAATTACAATATACAATATACTTCAACCATTTTAAAATTTATAAAAATATTTTAAAACTGAAGGAAAAGTAAATATAAAATATACCTAGGGAATAACTACAAAGTGTAACTACAGTATTACTTGTGTGTAATTTTCTTTATAGAAGAAGTTTTCTTATTTAATTAAAATACCTACACGTGTTATGGGAAAATAATTATTCGATGCCAAAAGTGATAACATTGTGTTGCCCAAAAAATTACCACAAAAGTGTGAAAACATCCTGAAATATATCTAGGGGGAGAGTCCAAACGTTGATATCCATATGATTCTAACTGCTATGCAATGATCAAAGTTATTTTATCTGGAGATTTAAATCACTGACGCCCATATCAGTAGGCATGTGACCACTTATGAAAGTACTGTGTATATCATAGAAATAACTGATCCACAACATAAGTACCTTAAACCTCAAAAGTGTTATGATTTGTATCTTTAAAAACACATATATTATTTGTATATAGAATTTACCAACTTTGACAAGTATAAGTCCGTGTTCAAAAGATACCGAGTAAGACAAGCTTAGTTTGGTTTAATAGTATTACATACTTTTTCAATAAACTTACACAATTTTTCTTATATTATTTCAATATTTTATTAATTTTTACATTATAATTACTACTGTTTATTAAAATAGTTTTAAACATGATATTTATTCAAGAAATGCGTTCATTACACATCATTTTTTTTTCTTTAATTAAGCTTAAGTCAATAATACCCAATTTCAATTTATTTTTCTTGGTGTCTTCATAGAGTTTACAAACAAAAATCAACGTTAATATAGAGCGAACTTAAAATTGATACAAAGCCATTCTAAGTCCTAAACCAATGTCAATAATAAAATTATAAAATTAAATCATATAACCATGATTCCTTTGAATTTTTTTATAAATTCAATAGTATAACTATAAAAGAAAATATAATTAAAACGTATTAAATATCAAATTAAGGTTGGTACAGTGTTTGTGTTGTAAATTATTCGTTATAATAAAAACAAAAAACTACCTACGCTTGGATTTATTTACAACACCCTGAAGGTAGCAACCTATAAAAAAACGTGACTTCATCATAAATCCCTCGGGATTAAAAATTTCTAAAAGTGTTCGAATATACATAACGAGAGAACGGTCTAGAACAGGGATCATAAATCTTGAGCCTAAACCTCTCTGTGGCGAAAGTAGAGAGATCTCAAATTGTTTGATAGCGTTGTCAGGATTAAGTTTACAAAATGTTGAATTATAACACACTATGTCAAAAGCATTAATCATTTTATCGTCATGTATATTTAGAAACATTTACCGGACGAAAGCTCACTAGATCCCGTGTCGAACGCAGACGATGAAACTCAGAGATCGGTCCGAAAAAGTGCCGTTTTGTACAATAAAGCTGACATAACAACAAGTAAAGCTAAAGCTGTTTAAATTATTAGATAGTTTTCATATTTTACTATATTGCACTTTAATTATATATTTATCATCTCAATTAATTTTTGTATCATATATTATATTATTATTGTTTAAATTAAAAAAATAAATTGCATTGAATTTGTTAAATTATGATAACAAATACTTATTGACATTTATACATCGTATTTTGTTACAACTTATTAAATATAGTGCACATACTTAAAATAAAGTAAATTTATATCATACTGGTACTGAACACTATGCATTTTAAAAGTAATATTTTTTTATTTCACAAAAAGATTTATTTATAACCGTTGATTGTAACACGTAACACAGAAATATATGTAGATAATAATATAAATATTTTTTTCTCAGCAACTCAACCAAGTAATATTGTTGCGTCACTTTTCCGACTAAATGAGGAAGAAGGTAATACGTGTATTCTGTTGAGGGTAGATGCTGTCATAGAAGTAAAGTTCAAAACAAAACTTGGTTCTGAAGACGTAAGGGTCAGAAATAATATTTTTGAATATAAATTTGTATTTATTATAATATTATTCTATGGATATTATGTGAACTACAGCAAACTGATCTATATGTTCCGGACGATGCAGAAGTAACTGGTGATTGCAGCAATGAGGATGATGCAACATTAATACTGAAATGGAAAAATTTCGTCTTTACCTGGTACTTCACAAAGGTAAATATATAATTGTAATTTTCTAATCACCTTTGGGTAAAAAAAGGGAGTTTAATGGAAAGTACAAATAGAGAAATTGAAATTTTCAGCTTATAACAAAGTTTTTTTTACAATACAAATGTATGGAATATTTTTTATTTTCCATAGAATTTGCTCAATTGTTTTTTTTTTTTTTTAAGTAGGCATACTCGAACATAATACTAAAATAAACGTATAACAATTTACATTTATCAATGATTGCATTAATCTAACTGTAATGTTGAATCTAAGATGAATTTAAAACTTCGTTATTATTTTAGAAAGTAAATATTTTTGAGTTTAATAAAAATGTAAAAAAAAATTGTATTATTGTATAATATAATATTTGAATATACTAATTCATATATATATTGAGGATATAGTAAATAACTATATATAATTGATTATATTGGTATAACTGTTTATACCCCATCTAGTTATGACTAGAGTTCAGTGTACTTTGAAGTAGGTTCACGACCTATGTGTTTTTAGTAATAAATACAATTTATGGTTGCACAGCAATTAAATGTGGTAGGTATTTGAATTGAATAACTCATTTGCTACTAAAAAAAGAATAATATTCATTAGTTTTCAATATAGGTAAATGGACATTTATAATTTATAATCATTAAACATATTACAGCAAATGTACACTGAGGACGTCACACCCACGTGTGTTGTCTCCGTCTTACGAACGTTAGGCAATATATTTGTGTTCAGCAGTTACAATGTTGTGCAATTACCTTGATTAATAAATAAAATTGAGATATCATCAAACTTCAATGTATGAACATTGTCTGTGCTTTAATAAGTTTTTTTTTAAAAACCTAGATATTTAAATTTGGAAGTTAAATGTATAAATGTATAAATTGTGATATTTTACATATTCACATCTTTTAAAAAATTTAAATGTCTTAAAAAACCAATGTGCAAGCACGGATAATGTTCTTACCTTTACGTCTGATAATTGGTCAATTCACTCAATTATTAAAACATACTACACATAATTGGAACGGCTGGACATAAACATAGTAAGTTTATGTTCCCACCTGTTCCATTAAACCAAAAAAATAAATAGTATATAAATTTGTATATAAGAAACTGTACTGTATTAAATTTATTTATCTTCATGACGACGTGATTGTAATTGACTTCGTTGATGTATGGATTAATGTTTCAATTAAAATATAGGTAGGATATATTTGCATAATTAAAAAACCCTGAGTTATACTCATTAACTTCCATTAACTATAATTACATTATACGTAATGTAAGTTATGATACATGGTATACGCACCATTTATTTTTCTTCTTATCGATCCACTGAATAGTTGTGCAGAAGTTTTCAGAGTATCATATTATAATGCTTAAATTATATTTCAGACGAAAGAGACTCAAAAATATTAGATTAGTATTTAGTAGTTTCAGGTAATTTTTGATTCAAAAACATTTCTAGTACATATTAATATAATACTTTATTTTTGTACACGAAACACATGTTTATATTACACGCTTCAAAACTTAGTATCACGTTTGTCGATTAAAGTTCATATATACTTCCAAAACCACTCATCAAAATTGGATACTGAAATTTAAAGTTCGATAGCATATTAAACTAATTTCTATGGACATACATACTAATGTGTTTTTTATACAAATAAATGTCAAATAATTTGCTTATTGTTTTCTTTCTGAGACTTAGCTGAGTTTATCAAATATAGTTAATTTTCACCTATGTTTCATTGGACAATTTTTAGCTAAACATAAGACGTATTCAATCATATTTCAAAGTGATTAGTTTAAAATTAAAAAAAAAACATTTAAAAAAAACTCTAAACCACTAACTTTGATGAAATATTTTGTTTTGATATAATGATGTGTATTATTACTATTGAACTTATAATTATGAACAATAATGTTATGTATTTTATTTTGGAATTAAAAATGAATATTGTTTAATGTAATATAATTATACGAAATTATAATAGGTATGACAATATAATTAAACAAGTTTGACTATATAATGTCATATTAGTTATATATACCTATGTCTACAGTATTAATTGAATGACATTAAATATTTTATATTAAATTCTTAGAAACCATACATTATGTATTTTAAATGTGAACTTACATTAAAACTTACAACAGAAATTAAATTTAAACTCTTCGATTAGATATTTTTATATTTATATTCATCATAAACAAAACGCAATTAAATTATTCTACAGAAAAATATATAACACTAAAAATTCAGACCGGGTTTATCCCTTTTCATATTTATTATTACAGCAGTATATTATTTACAAATATAATGTTTGTTGAAAATTATATAATTAATTGTTTTTAGAACGTGGAATTTTCATTTCTGTAATTATTAAAATTAAAAATGGATTTTATGAACAAAGTTAGATACATAATAATCTCAATAGCGTAAAGTCTTTGATAGTTTTTTCAACTAAAAAATATTTTTACACGCTCTAAAATAATATTCAGATATTTCCAAAATATTTCTTGTATTGTTATAATTAGATTTCAATATGTAAGTTTATGTTTATGTTAAAATTAAAATATTTTGAACAAGATATTTAGAATTCTAAAATTAAGATGAAAAACAAGATATTTATAGTTAAAAATTAAAACTAGATCAGAAAGACTTAAATATATAAATACTTTAAAAGTTAAACAGTCTATTGGGTTGAAAAATTTAAAAAAAAAATTGGTGTTTTGTATCATAGTTTGATATAGTTTAAATAATGTTGTACAAATTAAAATAAGTTTAGGTAAAAGGAGTGAAAGAACGGATGGCGAATTGAGGGTGTCTATCTTGAACAATCTTTAGGAAAGCACCACAACTGATAAATTATAAATAATTTACTTATTATATAATATAAAAATATATTTCGAGATTATTCAAAAATACAATTTGTTTGATGTTATAGACTCTTGGAGGAGAAAGATGGTTTGTCAAGGCATTGGAACTCGAGATAAATACAGCTGATAAACATTTCGATCATATAAAAACCAAAGGTAAGAATGTAATCAAACAAATATTTCGTACAAACATTTTTAGTGTTGAGGCATTTTGATTCAAATAACATTTTGTTTTATCAAACAAAAATATATTTGATTAATCTTTCAAGCATTATTTTAATTTTCTATTTCTTTATTATAAAGATATTTTTAATAAATTTAATATCATAACTACATTTTTAATCAATATATAATGTAAAATAATTTACCTAGTATATTTTTTAATATTATTATGAATTACATATTATATTTGTCTGGTTAATCTGATAGTGATCAAACTAGAAAAACATTTTTTTTTTTTAACGGTGTTCCAAAAAATGCCAGTAATTCAACCATAAGTCATAACGTCACAGTTCATAATTATATTATATTATTATGTTTATTATAATATTTAATAAATCATTGTCCGTGTCATGATAAAATAAAATATACACGGCGTGTTGTATAGGCAATTTAATGGCATGTACGCGTTAAAACTATTGAAAACAGTTAATATTTGTATTGCTTAAAAATATTTTTAAAAAATACATTAATATAATTTTGCAATAAGGACATTAGGTACATAATCAATAATTTCATTATTTTACTAAATAATTCATTGGTTCATAACACGATTTATGACAACCGATAATGAACTTTTTACCTGCGTAAAAGGTGAAAAACTATTACGATTAATAGGACAAATATAAACTTCTATTTGAATGTCCTTTATTTGAAAATAAAAGATTTTATAATCTCCTACATTTATATTTTTACTTGCAAAAAAAAAATGCTGTAATTTCCTACACTGACCTTTTTTGCTTACTCATACAAGTTTGGAATGTCTCAAAAAACTTGGCCTTCTGTAGAAAAATTATGACTCTTCTAACTTTAGAAGTGGTATAAAAAAAAACATTTATTTGACTAAATAATATTAAATAGAGTAAACATATTAATTGGAGTTGTCGTTTATAAAAATAAACTGCAAACACGTATCGATAGTATCTAAACGCTATATTGTATGGAACTACAACCGTGGTATCGAAGATGCTCGAACATATTATAATTTACTACAATCTGGGTATTATTCTTTTGAGGCCTTAAAGATAAAAAGCCATATAAAGAAATGTTGACAATTATCGAATTGTAGCAATAACATTTTGTACTTGAGTTATATGATTTTTAAATTCAATTAGAATGTAGATGCGTACTATGCTGTTTATTATTGTGTAACAATTGTGTTGTCATATAAGTTAAAATAGATATGACTATATAATTAAGAAAACCATAAAATACAATTGCCATCTATACTCGTACCGTGTTATGGTACATTTTTATACATATTATTTTAAAATATGTATTATTACATGGCTTTAAGCACAAATATTTCATTTACGTTGAAGTAGAAGTCAGTATTGATTCGGTATTAAACACCGATATTGATACCTTTATAAATATTTCATATATTGTTACAATAATTGAAATTTGGGTATTGGTTGATTGTATAACAATTGAAATTTCATGTTTAAATCATAGTTTTAACATTAATGTATAATAAAAGTGATTGGTATTTGATTGCATAAAATATTGGTTATTATTTCTTATTTTCAATGGTAATTGAATTTTTCTTCCAATGTTATTGAATATCTATATTAATTTATATAGTTAAAGTTATTTTATTTAGAGATTTTTGAATACTAGTATTCAACAATATTATATTTCCTATTATTTCAGTCATACATTTTTTTCACCATTTTAGAGAGATTTTAGGGTATTGAATATCGAAATAATTTGAGATCAAAGCCTTTTTGAATTTCATAAAAAAAAATCAGTAAAAACTTAATTACTAAAATAATAAAACATAAAAATATAATTTTATCATTACAGTTATGTTTTTTTGGTTTATACTTTTATTAGAACTTGAATTTGTAAAGAGTTATATAAATATCTTTCAATAATTTAGAATTTCATCTAGTTAACAAAAATAGTTAATTAATCTAACATTGTAATATATTTTTGTCCAATCACAATAAAATGATCAGAAAATTATATATTGAAGAAAGACTTTAAGGTTAAGACTTGGCTAAGCTATTCTGTAAAATTTGGTTAATTTTTGAGAAACCCATTATTTTTTCTAATCTTTAAGAATGAAATAAACCAGGAAAGGATATAGTGACCTCGTATAAGCCATAGGTTTAAATTCACTTAGAGATATTCAAATTAGAGAAAATAATTATGTATGGAGTCTTAACTAAACTTCATTCACAGATTTAACTAATCTTTTCTGCCTTTTATTACTTTATAAACTTGAAAAATGAATTAAATTCTTAAGTTTTTAATAACTACAATTCGCCATTACTTTAAACCAAAATATTTTTCCAAGAAAGTGATAAAAATAATTTAAATAAAAAAATATTATTGTTCAATCAACTTACTCTTCAAGTCTTAGAGTATCCAATGGTAATTTAAAAACAATTATTTAGTGGATTTTAATCTATTCCTTTCTGCCTTTGTTTAACACATACGTACACAGGAATTCCAATTTCTAATTTGATTTCAATTTTACCAAATGATTTAGTGAACCGATAATATTTCAGAAAAAAAATTTGAATTTGTTTTCAATTTAATTGAGTTCTAGTTCCGTCATTTTTTGATTTTTTGACTATTATTTCTCCGAAAATTTAAATATTTAATTTTTCGTCTACTCTACTTTTCTTAGTATGACTTTTTTAAGATTTAGGGTATACAACAATACATTTGGGAAACTCAATCTCAAAAAGACTTTACAATGTATTCAAATTTATTTGTTTTCAGAATTCTTACCAGTTCACTATATAAAATTATATAAATTTCTACGTTTCGCGTGTGTTATATAAAAACAGAAAATCACTGCTTCCAATCGACCTAAAAAAGTCTTAATCAATGTCAAGCATTGTATATATTAGCTGACACATTGAGATTAGCATTGACAGCTCTGTCTATTCTTCACCCTTAATTACCAATTATATATAGTGGGCTAATCACGCCTTAAACCTCCTATGGCTCTGCCTCCAAAGTCTTCCCAAGTCACTCCACGTCTCCATACAACCACCGTTGCAATTTCATATCAGTTACTCCCACCATCTGTCCTTTTGATTGTCCTCTATCCAAAATTCCGATCTGTACACCATAAGTGGAACCACAACTGAATTATAAAATATAACTATTAATCGCAATGGCATTAAAAAAAAACTATTCACATAATACATTAAAGAACATTTGATATAATTTATAATATCAGTTAAATTTTCAAATATTGTTAATCATTTTTTTTCCAAATAATTTTTATTACACGTGCTTTTTTGCATTTTTAATAGCCACATGCTAATTACTTATAAATTCGATAATATATATTTAATGTTCGTATTGTTCTAAAAAAATAAGATTTATAACTATATTATTTTCCATAAATATAATGGCATTAATTCCAATCATTTTATTCCGTTGTTAGTTTACACTTAAAATTTCTTTGTTTTTCATAATTTCAGATTAAGTATTTCCGTATAAAAAAACATTTTTAATTCAAATACTTGTTTTATTTCCATGAATATTCTTATTTAACATTTTGCTGTCACCACTATCCTTCTTTCCATTATTTTTACCCCTTTCTTCCTTTTCACTCTTTAGACGGAAATTCAATTACGGTATATCGTTTTCCTTTTGATATCATCATTAGCGCTTTTATTCACCTGATAATTTCCCATAGGTAGTTTATATTTATTTTTTTTATTGTACAAGGAAAACCATCAGTAAATTTATATCGAGTCAAACCCTTTTGTATCATTTTTTCAACAGCTAATTTTGTGTTAAAGTTTTTATTATTCATTCGACTGACTTTTATAATCCATATTATTCAAAGGTTTGACACGGATGACGTTAAATTAATATGGGTTCGGAATAACCGTGGAGCGAAACTACGACAGCGGTTATTTCATAAATGTATTTAATGAAGAATAGCGGGACGTATAATTTTGGCAATTTTCGAGCTCACGTCAGTTTACAATGCCTTCCCAAAGCCTTTTTAACGTGTTGATTAATTTTCACGGTGATTCTTTATTTCTTAGTTTTGTATTGTTCCCTAACCTACAAAAATGTGCGCAACAGTTTCTTTGCTCTTAGCACTTAACGGCAATGTTCTGTATCCATCTAACAATGAACAAACCATTTTTATGTTAGTATTTCAGCCTCCACGTTAAGTTTTTTTCATTAAAAATCAACTTGATCCAGGAATTAAAAATAAATATGTAGGAACGAGTATAAAATACTTTGTATCAATGTTATTATTTACAACTATTATTTTCTGAATATATTATTATGTACTAAATTCAACATAATAAATAAATATAAAACTAAAGGTTTCTATTTAAATAATAGTAAATTTGTTACCAATAATTAAAAAACCTAATAATTATTGAAATTAAAATATTATTACATGATTATAAACTTGCTAAAATGCTATTTGTGTTCTTGAATTAATGGACAATAACTGATAAAGTTAAACAGAAATACTGAAACCTGCCAAAATAACAAAATAATTACTGTTAATTTACCCTCTTAACCATAATAATTATCATACACGATTTTTTCAATATTTTAACTACAGTTTGATTTTTACGGTATGTTATTTCTAAATATAAAATAAGAGTAATTTGTATTTTATCAATAACATAGACTTGCAAAATTTTCTTTTAAAAAAAGCAGTCAATCATATTATTATTTGTTGTTAAATCAAATATTTTAATATATGTTTAAAAAATTAATCACTGTAATAAAATAATATATTCAAATTTGACTTGTCAATAATTTAATTGAACATAATTTTAAAAACAATTGTGCATTAACTACAGATTAGGTACAGTTAATGTTTTGCCATTATTTGAGGCAGGTACCAAATATACAAGTAAGGTATGATTTTGATGATAAAATACATATATTAATACAAATACGTAAGATTATAATGTCGAAAAATATTAATTTTTTTAAGCAAATGCTGTTTTCTTCATTACTTAATGATAGTACAGTGAAAGTTATTTTTAAACTACATAATAAACTAAATTACAAATATTGTACCCACATTTCAAAATATATCTATGAGCATTAAATATAAAAAATATATTTACAATTTATAAAACTTTTAATTTTTCTATGTAATTACCTATTCATTTTGTAACAATAGGTATAACAAAATAAAAAAATAACAGATTTTCTATAAATATATGTTTAAATATAAAACAGTTTACTCATACAAAAAAATATTAATATATCTACCATAAAATATCTTTATGAATATTTTATTCCAATTAGGTAATTAATTAACTATTTTGTTATATATTCAAATAAATGAATCAAGGAAATACTGATGCATTTTATCTATAGTTTTTATAATACCAGCGTATAAGATATTATCATTCAAAACCATAAAATATCGAACTTCTTTAGTTACATGACAAAATATTGATAATTTCACTGATGTTTTGTTTTGCTCACAATATTATGACCGTACATTTATAAAAAGTTGTTAGAAATACTGATAAATGTAAATTTAGCCAGAAAAAACAAAATTAGGTGATTGCATTCATATAGGTACTAAGTCGGTACAAAAATGTTTACTTTATAAGACACTGATATAATTTCGATGAGTTATAAGTCACAATATTATGTACACATAGTTTCCTATTTAATTTTTATATTATTTTTTAAAAATAAAACTACCTATGAAAAATGGACTTATCGAGTCACATGCTTTGTAATATTCAAGTTAGATCTAAAAATATCAAACAAAATCAAATATCAACTCATTAAAATATCGAGTTAGTCGAGGTCATACTCATCGTTTTCCTTATTTTTGTATTAGGATATTTTATACGAATAGTCCTGTATATTATTTATTGATAATTACAGAACAATAAATAAAATATATATGTTGTGCAAAAGAATTTTTAAAAAAATATTCCTTCTTAAGATTGTAAGAGTGCTTTATTAATATTTCGATAAATTTTAAGATACTTTAATTTATTTTTAATTTTCAGATAAAATTGTGCGTTTGTCAACAGTATCCAGTTATGGTACACTACTGTTTATGACACCAGTAGGACAGTCATATTCATGTCAAAAAGAAATTAGTGTGGTGTTGAGTGATCAAAATGTACCTACGATGAAAGGATACGTATTGCTCAGAGCATTTACTGTGCAGCCGTTCATATTTAAAAATAATGAATTTGGACCAGGTAAGACTACACTTCTAAAAAAAATCTTGCAGTAATAAATTTTAAGTTTAAACACTATTAACTGATTCTATCTACAATATAAATGTTCTATATTTAGTTCAAAAGTTATTCGTGACTCACTTTATATTCTTTAAAATAATAGTATTCTATAAATTACTATCGAAATAAAACTCGTCTAATGACGCTTATAAATAAAATGTAAATCACATCTAACAAGTTTATTATTTATTTTTATATAAAAAAATGCTTTTATATTTTAAATAATTATTTCAGTATTTGAATAATTCTAAAATGATTACGTCTTGTACGCATTCTAAATACATAGAATAATAGTACTTTGTTACTTACCTACAAAGTTATGCAGGCTAAATTATTTCATCACTTGTTTTTCCACTAATATTATTCCAATGTAAAAATATGGTAATAATTTATTATTATTATTTCATGATCTCTAATAAATAGTATAAATCTAAGACAATCTTTGAGTAGATAATGCGAATATGACCGCTTCGATGGGTACTACTAAGTATTCTGGAACACTGGAAACCTACCATACGTCTATTAACGTTGTATGATTATTACTCATCTCTTAGATATTATAGTAACAATTTGTATTACGTAAAATAAAACTAATAGTCCTACCAATTTAAGTTTTATTGATCAATAAAAAAAAAAATATATTAGGTGTAACATACCAAAACAATTTTTGATAACAATTATTCAGTCAATATTATATGAGTAATTATGTTTTATTAGTACTTTACAATATTATTATTGTAAGATAAAAAAATGGTCCAATTTAATATTATCATAATATTAATTTTTAACCATGCTAAATAACTATAGAATAGTCTGAGTATATAAATGTAGGAAAATATAGATAATCTATGACATTTCAAAACATATATATTTAAAATGTTCCTGTCACTACTCACTAGTATGTTTATCTTAAAATTTAAATACTGCCAGTTTATTTTAGAAATATGTCATTGCCAATGGGATAAATAACTGAAGGTATTTGATTATTAAGCAGAGATTGTTAACAGTTTTAATAAAATCAACTTTAAGAATATTTTTGTCTTATAATGTTATAACTTATACTTATATAATATAAAAATAAATAAAAATATTTTTATACATAAGAAAAGAATATTAGAGTAGATACATCACAACATATTTTAATTGGGAGCAGACAATTTCAAATAATGTAATTAAATTACCTACTTAGTTTTTCCATAAAAACCATTTTTAACAGCGGCTGACACTTTTTTCGACATTAAACTATAAATTCTCCTTTGGTTTTTCCGATTTCATTCCCTGTCTATTGGTTTGTATTACTTGTCAACTTGTTAACATCAGGTAGAATATATATATGTATATATGTATGTACATATGCGACCTATCGAGGGTAAAATACGTTTTAACGATAAAAATGTACTAGACCACAACCTTAATATCACACAGTTAACTAAACATCAGACGATACTTCACACATGTTATATAATATAATACACATTATAATGCATGAAAGCATCCTACGCATGACAGCCACTAATTTTGATTTTCTAGTACACAATTTATCGCCCATATTATAACTTGTGAAAATTACATACGAAATTCAAACATGCTATAACGGTATATTACTAAATACTAATATTCAATACATTAATTAGGTATGGAAAATGTATTGTTAAAACCACTATTTTCTATAATCATTTAATTATGAATATTAAATAATAAAGTCAGTTAATATTAGGTTAAAAAAAATAAGGATTTAAACTCATGGAATCCTTATATATATATATAATTATAAAAGAACAGGCCTTTTTTATGTACCAATTTTGTAACGACGCTATTTAACTTTTTTCCATTTTTTTTTCACTAAATTGTTCCAAATACCTTCCTAAGTGTCACCATGTTACCCTATTTTCAAAATTTCGATTTTAAAGGGTTGAAATCGGTAAAATTAAATTGTTCACGTGCAAATTGTATATCTATATATATATTTTACAGTCTGGCGACCTGTGGGTTTCCATAGCGACATGCAACCATAACTTTTTGTCCGTCTAACTATGTGTTTGATCGGCATGTAAATATAAATTGTTCCGAGAAGTAAAATTCTACAATATACCTCCTATATCTATCTAGGTATATAAAAATAAATAATAAATTTCCCTTAGTCGAGGCATTACGCTAATCGCTTATCATTTAATACAGATCCATCTATCTTCTATATATGATATAAAATAGTTAATATATAATTTCTTAGTGCACATTTCACATTGGAATCAATCAGAAGATTAATGAAAAATTGTATAGTGAGTTTTTTGATAAATGTTTAGTCACCGTGGTTAGTTTAAGCAATCATGCTTAAAATTGTAAACAAACTTAAGTCGCCCGCGGGCCGCCGTGTCATACAATATGTGTATAGAATCATTAGAATTATTTGTAAATATTTTTATTTTTATTTTTTTTTTGAAAGCATTTTTCAAAATAAGACCTCTAAGGGGGTAAAAGGGGTTCTTTTATACCTATATAATACACGGGCAACGCCGTGAAGGCACAGCTAGTACAATATAAAATTATATTTTTCTTGAATCAATCACATGATATTTTTAGTCTTAAATATGAAAGAAATCATTCATTTATGATTTAACTTGTTCAAATTTAATTCTTTCTGTATAGAATTGTATTAAATAGTCTCTCTATATTCGATAAGCATTTGGATACTTAAAAATATTTTATTCAGTGGAGCCGAACTATGTGTTCAATTATAATTATTTTTTTATATACTTTAGGTAGTTCAATTGAATTGCCTTAAAAAAAGCGTGGGTGGGTAAAATAGTAGATTTTACTTTTGCTATAATTATTCTAAACACTGAAATACCATTAAATTATGTATATATAATTAGTTAAGTCTTTTTTAAAGTATTTTTAAGAGGAAATAGGAGGTCAATCAAACCACTTGAACTACCAATTTTTATTTCATTAGCCACTACTGGTTTAGTTTAACCGTACGTTATGGTTTATAATATTGTAAAGAGCAAAAGCTTCACAACAAAACTACCAAAACAAAAACTACAAAACTAATTTCAAAATCAGATTTTCAAAACTCGAAGAGATATAATATGTAATTTGTATAAACAGTTTCAAAAAAAAAAAATATTTGAATTTAAATTTAAAAATATTTGTTTTCTGAGTTTATAATAGGTAGTAAAACATTTTCAAAACACTAGGTATAATTTTCAAATATCCATCCATCCATTTGAATATAAAGTATGTATTACTATAGTATAATTCTGTGAACCCATTATCCGAAATTGAGTTCACTGCATGTTCTACTTTGATGGGATTATTTTTATTTTTCGATTTTTTGGATCATTAAAGTTTGATTCAAAATTGTTTTTACAAACATGAATCCCATAAATGGATTATTTAAGCATTAAAGTGATATACAGTTTTAGATATGGAAGTTTTATTAGACAAATATGTATATATATATATATTATTTTTTAAATTATAAATAATACAATAAGCGGTATTCTTTGTTTGTGTATTATCTTCTCTCTCTCAAAAAAAAAAAAAAAATTAATATATAAAGCACATTAATTATTAATACTTGTTTAGAACATAATATACACTCTGAAAACAAAAATATTTTAGTACATTATATTTTTATTTTTTTTATTTTAATATAATACAACTTATTTACTAAATGTGTTTTAATTACCACATGCATCTTATGAGTTTGACATAAATATCAACAATTTTAGGTATAAAGTGTCCGATTAGATCAATTTTTTATAATCGAATTTGGTTAAATACTTCATTAGTTTATAGGGAAATATAAATAATAAATAGATTGTTGAAAAACTGTTTATATAATAAAAATAATTATGTTTATAATTTTTATTCACTTATAAATACTTGCCATATTTTAATATGATGTACTTACATATTATCTATTCTCAAATTAATTTTAAATTGTGGCTACAATATGTCCATATATACGTTTTTAAAACCATTCAATTGATAATAGAATAATAAGTACTTTCTTAACAAATATCATATTTTACATAAAATCAATTTTAATTTAGTAAAAGTTACAATTTCAAAGATATAAGTACAACTATTAAAAAGAAACTAATATTAATTATTATTCCATTATTCATTTTTAATTATTTTTTTTATTAAAAAATTCTAATTACATAAATAATCAAAACACTTGTCGTTAAAAAAATATTTTTAATTGGTGTAATACAATACCTATATCTTATATAATATCCAACGCATAGGCTTATGAAAGATTATTAGTGCGTATTATAATAATATCTTGCTTTTAGTACTAACATCACCACTGGAGAGCTTTCTTTGGAGAAATTGTAAGATTTATGTATTGTGTATCTGTGTACATTAAAAACAATATAAAGAAATGTGAATTAAAAACAGTTGTTCTTAATTCTCTTTGACGCCAAGGGCATTAACAAAAGAACTAAAAAATAAGTCGTGATCAATATTCAAACTTACTTATAACTAATGCATTGCAATTTTTAAATTAATATATTATTCACTGCATGTTAAAATTGTGAATAAACATTAAAATACCATTAGCGATTTCTGAACTATAGATTCAATGAAAAATATTTTTACTTGGTATGAATACAAGGAGTTTTTATTACAAAATTGTCTGAAGTATATTTCTCACAACTTTATCATTTTATCATTATTTAAATAGTAAATTATGGATTGTTACATCTCGCCAACGTTAGTTCAAGCTGGAATAATGCCGAAGTATAACACTGGTCGCTAACTACATACTTATAAATCCATAAATCCATTTAGAATGGGATAGGTACATGGATTTTGTGTTTTTTTTTTTAATATGGTGAGAAGGGAATTAGATAATTATAAAAAAAAAACTTAAAATTTGAAAGACAATTTGTATATATTATATTACCGTTACCGTGGTAGAGGAGAGTTTATATGAACTCAAAACTTACATCGGAGAAGAAGAAAGGATTTATTGAATAAACACAATTCAAACTATTTTGGCACACTGACAAATTTTGAGTAAAATCAATGATTATCTTAAACTACAAATAGTAATAATAATAAAGAAAACCTCTTGAGGAGGTTTGGAAACTAGTACACTTAGTTTAAATTAAATATTCATTGATAGAAATAATTAACGCATTGGAAAATCATCCAAACTAGTAATTAGGCCACCAAAACTGTCCTAATCCAAAGCTTCTCTTACTTAGGTACTAACAAAGTTATTGAAATTAACATTTAACACATATGACTATTGGGAAAAATAATGACTGAAACTCCTAACCAAAGTTAGGAAGAAGTAAGGAGAAGGTCCTGTCATATGTAATATGTTCTGATATTACAGTTGATTACATATTCACTAAGGGTTTAACTATAGAAGATCTCTTTCATGTACCTTCTACAGGAGTTAAATTAAAAACTCTAACCACCTTTCCTATGCTTTAAACCAAGAATCCAGCAACTCCCAAAATTAATAAAATTCTAATCGTGAACAAATATCGCTGGTAAAATATAACACAATGATATATTTTCTTCATATTACAGTGTTTGATTTCATTTTTTGTTTGTGTAATTTCTCTTAGAAATGTAACACAGTTAAATCAAAAACCAATATGTTACGTCCAATGGCCTTATATGGAAGGTATTGGATCTAACAAAACAAGGTTTATCGAAATCTATTCATCAATTTGTTCTCGTTAAAATTATAAATATCTGCATGTCTACTGCATATAATATACATAATACCTTAGTATCTAGTACCTACATATAAACTCGTACTACATTATTGATAAAACGATTGGTTACTTGTGTAATGTTTTTTGCACAAAATATATCCTGGTTTCAAAAGTGGGGAAATTTAAAATTAGAGAAAATTTAGTCTTAACCATAGTATCAAATGGTATGCAGCAAAATATCTACAATGCACCTACAAAATGTTTTATATCTGTTGAACACAAAAAATATTTCGATAAAAACTTATCTCTTGTATGATTCGATGTTACAGCTTACCAGTGTTCGTCGATCGGTGCTGGTGCCATGCGAAACGAAACCGTGCCGTTCATATTCGGAATCACCCTAGCAGCCGTCGCCGTACTTACGGTTGGTGGGTATGCGGTTTTCAGACACTTCAAAATCAAGAAAGTCCAGTACGATACGATGGAATAAATGATACAAAGCATGAGAGTTTTAGATGTGCTAACGAACTGGGGTTTTATTTGAATTATAAATTATATCGTTTTTCAATTGTTTTGATCAACACAGCAATAATAGACGACGTTTTATTTTATAATATAGTTTATATAATATGATTAGGCTACTATTCGATTCTGCAATTACACATTTTGTGTATAGTTTTTCTTTGTAGAATTTCTGATACGGCTGATTTTTAAAAGAATATCTGACTAACATCTTTATTTAATTTGTAAATTATATAGGTACCTATTTGATAACTATAAGTATGCATTAGTATTACAAACTTGATTTATTTTACAAAAATTACTATCATAATTTTTTTCATTTAAATGATTCTCATAACCATGTACCGTATTTAAACTTTTTTTAAATCTTTATTTTGTTTTATATTTTTAGTTATGTTATTACATCAGAATAAAAATTAAAACCTAGTCTAGATTACTGGATATCTGAGTTATTGACATTAATCTATACCTATAAAACAAAAAAATTATAGGGTTCATTACTGAAGTATTCTTTCTTATTTATTAAAAATCTATTTCTATCATTGTGTTTTACATATAATATATTTAATCTTAATCAACATTAAAGACATTAGCTATACACTATAAATATTTAATTTTTGGACACATAAAAATATTTCATAATTATTGAATATTTGTTTGCTAACATAATCTCATTACAGAGTTAATTTTTTACTATTTAACTTAAAAACTTACTTTAAATTGTTATTATACGTATTTTTTTATTTATATAAAAATATAATACCTATTGTATTATCTTGAATAATATGTCTGCTTACAGTCGATGACGTGTGCCCACGTTAAACTATATGTGCTATAAAAATAATTACTGATAGTGTAAAATGTAAATTAATATGCAAATTTTTATTATTATAAATATGAATTAGTTTTGATTTTATTCATCATATTATATTTAAATTTTTAACGACTTTATGTATAAGTTGCAACAGAAACTATTGTTATTCGGAATGTCAATTACCTACCTACTATGCTTTTGTTTTAATGATTTGTATTGCTTGATAACTGGATTGATTTTCGTCAAAAATCTTAAAACCAACATAGTGTTGCAGTAATACAAATTACTCATAATATAACGGCTATGTTACTTTACCCTTTATGTACTATTCATTACAATATTAATTAAAATAGATGATATCATATATTATTATAGGTATAGTTTACAAAATAATTTAGTACATTATAATATATTTATACCAATTTAATTTTAAGATACTAGACTTTATTGTTGTAAGCAATATTAATGAAGCTCTTTAGCAGTTAAGTTATGTTTTAATTTCACATAGAAAGTCTAATTTAATAATAGATTTACCGTTTTTTTACACCTTAAAATAATACTAGTTTATTTGAAAGTAAAAATTGACTATATTTTACTATTTAACATTATGTAGTTGGAATGATAAAGATAAATTGATTTATATAATTTTATTACTACCCAGCATCCATTAAATATTAGATGTATATTTTCAAACTTAAAATTAACTTTAAAACTAAATTTAAATGCAATATTTTAGTTAAAAAATTTGATATTATTATCATTAATTGTATTATTTAGTATTGTAAGTGTGTACAGTCTTAAGGATAACGCCCATTATTAACGTGTTTTAACTATATGAATTGCGTGGACCATAGTGGATTTAAACATTTCGTAAACATCTGATGAGCATTAATGGGCTATAAAAAAATATAAAATTATACCTAACACTTGATTCTTTTGAAAAAAAAAAACATAAGATTTGCGTTTGTTATAAGGACCATCATTAGTATATTATTAGTTGAATGTAAGAACTACGTTACTGTGTTCGAAATAATCGAACCAAATTAGAAATTTCTTAACTGTTTTTATATCCACATTTTACATATTTTACTGCATATCATCGTTTCATTATCCTCATTATTAGTTGATAAAGTTCATATACATCACTTTATGTAGACAGTATACATAAATATAACTTTAATAATGTTATTTGTATTGTACTTTTTCTAACAAGTAACACGATAAGTAAATTCCATAACACAAGAAAACAACCATGTTATATGTATCGGCCTTAAGTATGTAACATATCATGAAGCCGTTATAATATTTTTAACACCACTATAATAAAAATAAAAATTACTTTCCCCAAAACTATAAAATACCTATCCACCTAATTATACACAAATATTTCACTCAATACCGATTAAAATTTTTTATCAACGAAAGTTCATCATCAATATTTTATGATTTTCAAATAAAGATTTTTATATAGTTATATTATTTATAACGATAGGGGAACGCTTATTGTTAATACATCCCTTTTAAATTAAACTAATAAATGAGGTAAATGTAAATGATCGTTAAATGAGTGGTAACTAAATTCTGATGTTTTTACATATCTTATAAAGTTATAAATTAATTTGATAAAAATATTAAATTTACCTATAATATCTACACATAGTAATGTTGTAATTTTTGAGTTATTCCATATTCAATAAGTAATACATTTAAAAATTATAACTATTTGAAAAAGTTAGTATCAGATCATATTTGTCAAAAATATGTGATAAATCTATTAAAAAAAAAAAAAAAAATACACGTAAATTGAATACCTTGGTTATGAGTTAAGTTTGAATAGAATAAATTCAAGTGTTACGTGTAACCAAGTATTAAAGAGTGATCAATTAAGAAATTATTTATTTAATTACCTTCCTATGATTACATTTTATAATTGTTTTTTCGCTTTAATCATAAACTATTCGATTTTTCTTTAATGAATATCATAGTATCGATGTACCTAACATATCGTAATTATTACATTTTGCTAACATATTAAAATTGAGTCAATAAAATTGCGTAGACTTTTCATTTGTGAAGATTCAACGCTTATCGTTTTAACATAAATTATCATTATATTTACTGTAACTATATTCCTATATTAGACTGTTCCACAAGCGCACAATAATTGTAATTAACACTATTTTTGATTATTTAGTGAATACATATAAGACATAAATGTTTCGGTCTGACCACCGTTTACATAAATATTTACTTACAATAAAAAAAAAAAATCAATACAATAATGGTTTTATATTGTCAACGAAATGCATATCGACGTCCTCGTCTTCCAACACAAATTTTAAGCATTTTAATGTTTTTTTTTTTGTTTTTGTATCATGTGATTTATTATATTCGAGTGTCTTTTCCTCTTATATTTACGACGATGAATACCGTATAATATGAAATTCATTATATTATTAGTTTATAGACATTGTTATCATGGTAGTTAAATAGGTATACTGTTTGTGTGTAGTCTATTTATTTAGCTGAGTCATAAAATAGAATTATGAATTACTATAATAAATTATAATAATTATTATTATTAATACTATCACTATGATTATGATTATGGTTATTATTATTATTATTAATATTATTATTGTTATTGTTATTATTATTATTAGCAGTAGTATTAGTAAAACCTATTACATATTTAATATAAACTATTATTTTTATTATTATTATTATTATTATTATTATTATTATTATTATTACTATTATTATTATTATTTTTTTTTTTACTATTAATACTATTATTATTGTTTACACAAATTATAACTGCAATAATAAATTGCACATTATTAAAATGTGTTTTTATCATTGTATACTTTTAAAATCTTATGATAAATAAATATTTAAGCCATAGAAGTTTGAAAATAAAAATATCTTTATACAAGTGTAAACATACCGCTAGTAATAGATGCTATTTGAAAAGTTACATCCAAGAAGTCACAATGGCTGAATGACAATAAAAGTTCAATGTATGAAAATAAAAACCTGATAATACTATCTTCTAAAGAAAACAACAGGGGAAGTTGCCGGGTTATAATATAGGTTAGATGTTATAGGTATTATTATAGGTTAATAATAAGCGTCATTAAGAAGGGTAATTTTAAACTCTCCCGATTTTAATGACATTTGAACTCTCCCTATAGTTAACTCTCCGGGCCTACTAAAAGACTAACTGACGGGAACATGTAAACTCTCCCGGTGTGACAGGAAAACAATACCCCCGGATATTCATACCCCCCGGCGGTATGATTTTCCTAGGTTAATAGTAAGTACCCCCGGTACAAATTTCTTAGGATATTCATACCCCCCGAAATTTTATACCGGGGGTACAAATATACTAGGATAATTATACCTCCACGAGGGTATGATAAATATAGGAAATTTATACCCCTGAATAATTTTCCTAGAATATTTATACCTCCCAAAATGTCTTACCGGGGGGTACAAATATCCTAGTAATTTTATATCCCTGGTATAATTTTCCTAGGATATCTATACCACCCAAAATTTCATACTGGGAGTACGAATATCCTAGTCATTTTAAAACCCCAGTATAATTTTTCTAGGATATTTATACCTCCTAAAATTTTTTACCGGGGGGTGCAAATATCCTAGGAATCTTATAAATCGCCCACACAAATTGTACATTTTTGGTACGAATATTCTAAGACAATAATACATCCATGGGGGTATTAAAAACCTAGTGGATTTATTTGTAATTAAAAATGTATAAGAAATTGTTATTTTTTTATACCTAATATTTCAAAATTTAATACAAGATTCCTCTTACGTGTTTCTACTTTTATAAAAATAAAAACATACAAAAATATACATAAATGTAATATATACATTTTTTATGAGCTTTTAAAGTCCAGTAAGTTCTATGATTACTAATTGAACAATTTTCTTTATTAGTTGTAATTTAAAATCGAATAACTGTAGATGATACTTGAAATTGTCACAAAATATATAATTTATCATTTTCTATATATGATATCATTTTCAAAATAGTTTTATAATTTTGTGCTATTTATAGACGTTTAAAATTAAAAAAAAATTTTATGAGTTTCGATTAAAAAATGTTTGATGTTTGAAAATTGTTGAATTATTGATATTTAAACTAAGCATACCTAACAATTATCATTATATTGTAGTAATTCAAAAACACTATTCCTTTGGATTTAAAATTTATTCTAGGAAGACATAAACTTCAAAATAAGAGGAGAAAAAAAATTGTATCGTATGAAAGCGCCAAAATCAAAGGTAGGTTAGGTAAATCTTACAGATATTAAATGTAGGAATTATATATCGTTAGAACTATAAAACTCCAAACGTTTAACCTTAATTTTTTGTATTGGTAGAAATAAACCAATTTATTAAAATTATAATTATTTGTATGTATATTATTGAAAATTTTTTTAAAAATCGAAAAAATCAAACGATTTAAGAAAATTATGTATACCCTTGACGCTTATGTCATACAGTCAAATTTATGCGTACCTTGACTATACATTTTACTACAGGTAAGGAAATGTAGCTTTTAAGCAGTTTTAATTAATTTTAACCTGGTATTCATTAACAATAATGTATATAATCAAATGAATATCCAATGTAAAAATTTTAATTTCAAACGCTCATAAAATTTTGATTTGACTCTCCGGTAGAAACTTTTATTTTTTTGATTGAGATAGACAAACTATTAAGACATATTGGATATGAACATTTTTTTTTATGAATTTCTAACTTAAAATAAATTGATTTTTAAGTATTTTATCAAAATTTGAAATTCAGACTCTCATAAAATGTTATTGAGAATAATAATCGAAAATTTCAAATGCCTTTAAATAGTTGAACATACTTCAAAATATTTTGAAGATTTTATAGTCTATAAAAAATGGTAACACAAACATTCAGTGAAAATTTAGTATAACATCTTAGGTTTATACACACTATACTAAATAATAATTATTAAATAATAATTTTAATGTATTATAATATTTGTTATAGATACAAGCCACATTGTGGCACATGTACACATGTATTCAAATTTATATATAATTTTTTTTCCGCGATTCGGTTTAACGATTTTTTTTTCTCTATAATATAGCGTATAATATTATATGATCTTCGATTCATTAACATTAAACTTGCACGTATGTGCTTGTGGAACTATTTATCTGACTGTACTAACTACAAAAATAGTAGTAAATGTAGTAAACATTTTTTTTTTCTATTATGCAAATCAAATTATAAATAAACGTTTTAGATATACCTTACAATAATTGAATAATGTATTTTTTTTTTATATGGATTAATGATTAAACTACTAAGGTCATTAGCCTGGTACTGTGTGGGAGGAACGATTGGCTGGAACACGATTGTATGCCTAGCAAGTAGCAAATATGTGTTGCTAAAAACCCGGGCGGTCACCCATCCCAGTGCTAGCAACGACGGCCAGTTCTTATGCTCAGAGCGTTGCCGCAGCTTGAGTTTATGACAGTGCCTCATCAAGCCACGAATAATAATTATATTTAATAAAAATTAATCTATATTTCTATTTGTTAAGATAGTAAATATTTTGTTTTTCAACATTGTCGTTCCATTTTTTATTCATAAAAAATCAAATAAAACAATTCATTTAAATATTATCAGTAGCACAATTTTCCTAGGATTTTAGTACATCCCTGTAAAAAAATTCTGAGAAGTATTATACTATGAGTATGAATTTACTAGAAATATATTACCGGAGATTAAATTTCCTAAGATATTTGTATCTCCCCGGTAAGAAATTTCTGGAGGTATAAATACCCTAGGAAAATTATACCGGGGGTATAAAATTACTAGGATATTCGTACCCACTGAAATGACATTTTGGGAGGTATAAATATCCTAGGAAAATTATACCGGGGGTATAAATTTCCTAGGTTTTTCATACCCACACGGGGTATTATTATCCTAGGATATTTGTACCCCTGGTATATATTTATAGGGGGGTATTAATATCCTAGGATGTTTGTACCGGGGGTACTATTATCCTAGGAAAATTATACCCCCGGGGGGTATAAATATCCAGGGGTATGATTCGCCTATTACAAATTTCGCTTTAAATATTTAAATTAAAAATAGGTAAACGATAGTAAAATATTTAAATGTTTAAATTTCACATACAGATAAACGTTAGTACAATTATGATAGTAAATATTTATAATGATAGTTACAATCGCTGTACTGTAACTAATTCATAGTGTAGCTATAACATTTAAAACAACTCAAGAGAGTTTACACATTTACTTCAGGTAAACAAAAAGTTGACACTGGAGAGAAAACAAATTTCTCACAGGTAAACATAAAATTGATCCGGGAGAGTTTACCATACAATCACTAGAATTTATTATCGCGTCTATCGCCCTTAAAAAGATTGTCGTAATGGATGTGTTGAGTCTTATGTCAATGATAAATTCATAAATAATTGCATATGAAAAACGATTAGGTATGAGTATTGGACTTTATTTCTTAGGATAATTTGTACATATGACCATTAGCAGTTTGTTGTTCTTATAGAAACATAAACTTTGTAAATGTTCGTTGAACTAATATTGCCTAAAAACATCGCAATCAAAAACATTCTAATAACTATTAAAATATCAAAGTGTTTGTTTATTATTATTATTATGAACTTATATCAGTACCGCATGCTATTGTTTATCCTGTGTTTTTATGTGTGCAAAAAGTGTATAGATGAAAAACATGAATTTCTAGCAAATCAGCAACTTCAAGTGAAAATCTGTTTACGTGTAACTTAGTCACTAAGTTGGACAATCCGAGTAGGCAATTAGTTCAGATGGCGGGCAATATGCAAGTTGCATAACAGAAAGGCAATCCCCCGGCGGTGAATAGTGGACACAACAATGAGCTACAATTAGTGATACTTAGCCACCTAGGTAGGCAATTATTGCCTTAATTCTGCTAATTAAATATTAGTAATATTTACCATTATGAATAGCAAATTGATAACCTGTAAGGAAGATAATTGATGATGCAATCTTTACCTTCCCAATAATCTCCCAGTTGACCACTATTATTCAATAATATCGATAATTTTCATGAGTACAAATAAATGACATGGAAAAAAATAAGCAATTTAAATTATCTAAACAACAATGTTCAAGTTTCAATTTTTAAAATGCGTTTTTTTTTAAAATTCTTTCGCATTGTACATC